ATTGTATTGCACTGTTTACTTATTCCTAGTACTATTGTGGCCCGCGAACAATGCAAAAATAATTTTGTGGCTCGCGGAGCCGACAACCTTGGACCACCCTGTTCTAAAGCCTTACTTTCTGTTATGTATGTGATTCCAATAAAAATGTAGATAGACCCAATGCAAAACTTACGAAGCTCACTAATGTTTTTTTTTCCGAATATTGCTACTCCATGTTAAGCTGCTTATGATAAATACGATGTGTTAAATTGGGTAGGTTTTGTCGCATTTGTGAGAATAACGCTTTTCAGAGATCAACAGCTCAGATACTTTTTTATATATTCGGTGCGGACGATATATCATATTCTTATTATTTGTCAATATTTTTTTTTGATGCAAAGCAAAACTTCTGGATGACTTAATTAACAGCAACATCTATGACAATAATACTAAAAAAGCAAAACGGTTATTTTATAGAAACCAGAATCGAAGTCCATCATGTCATATTATTTTTTGTTCTATAATAAATAATATGTTTTATAATTATATGCGAGTATTTTTTCTGTGTACTTTTACATTTTAATTTAGCGTAAATTTGACATTCCATTTTAATCTCACTTACTTTCTTATTTTACAAGAGAGACTGCACCAAGACGGCAAACAAAAGGTGAGATTTTACAGTTCATTATGAGCAATGAGGTGGAAAGATCTTCGAATGTGTGTGTGTTGAGTTGTGCACTAATATTCAATATTATAAATTCAATTATTTAAACGACCCACTATTCGTGTAATATATAAATATATTGGCTGTCTCTCTTAACATCGCTCCTTTATTCCTGAGTAAGTACGAGTGACACTGCTTCGAATGATTTTTTTTAAATGCCTCATACTGTACTGTACGGCTAATGATGGCCAGCTTTCCCGAATACCTCGAATTCTACAATGACAAGAAATGTATAATTTATAAAATATACTATGAGATTAGTGTCTCGCTGTCACTAACACAAATGTATTTCTGTAACGTTTCGTGTGACCGGGGTCAGGATCTCTAGACATGTAGATTTCAATAATGACAAGAAAAGCAACAGCCCCACATGATTATAGGAAAATTCGCCGTAGGAAATCTCACCGCAAGAGCATTTTGCTGTAAAACAAGTATTTGTGAAAAAGAAAACAGATTTTTCATGCGGCGATATTTCCTAGGCGGCAAAGTTTCCGGACACGGCCCCACATAACCCCAATTGATTCTGCGCTTACCATGCGCCGCCTCTGTTGACGAGGGACGAGTGAATCAGAATCTTAATATTTAATTAACAACGTTACGCTTGGCAGCCGACGACGAGGATAATTATCTCGAAAAATTACGTTATGTGAACTGCATTGTTTCAAAGCAAGTCATATCTCAATGACAAAACTAATGGATTCTGGAATCTATTTTCGGAGCAATAGAATAAAGCATTTCGTCCGTTTGTACGTACTAGTTACACTATTTGTTATATTTAAATCAGACTTGCAAAGCTAGATTTTAAATAATAATGAGATGTCTAAACGAAATAAGGTGGTGAGTAGGCCCCTATCGTAGATTTCAACTTGTGCTGCATGTGGGCAGCCGTTCAAGGTCCGCGGCAACAACATGCAGCATCAGAAGCCACAATAAATGTATATTGACATGGTATGTGTTGACTTTTGAGTAAAAATTTTAGGCCTGATTGAGTGAAGAAATGCTATATGGCTCGCACGGAAATGCAGTTGAAAATATGGCTCTCTCGACCAAAAAAGCTACCGACCTCTTATCTATAGCTAAGACCTGAAGCCCGAGCCAGACCCGACATTCGGGCCGGGTCCGGCCTGAAATGTCAATCATTACGTTCGGGTCGGGTTTCTCTATCGCTGACTTTTTTTTTAAATAGACGAGAAACCGTGGTCTGCAAAAAAAGTTGCCTCATCAACACGACACATACTGTACTAAACTGCAAATCCAGTTAATTAGTCGGGCTCGGGCTGGGTGTTTGATACCCACGGGCCTACAATCTGCATTCCTAGCCCTCACACTAACTGGATTACAATTTTTTATTTAATTTCGAGCGATGGCGAGGAGTCTTTACAAAAGATCTTATTTATAATTTATAGCCTAAAATTCAGACAACTAAACTATTGCAATATTGGATTCCTCGGACTTATGGAATGTTTTACTCCAAAAATGTTGAAAACACTGGGTTGCATCAATAATTGATTTCATGTTTGGTAACTAGACTAACTAAGCTGGATAACAGGCTAGCTAATCATATACCCGACATGGAAAGGTAACCGGACGAGAGGCCGTGGTGTTCCGTTTAATTACGCCGCCCTATCGACTTTCATCTCTGCCACCCCTCACTCCTGGATAAACTCTATTTCCCACTATATAAACGTAGCAATAATATATATTTTCTGGAGTTGAAAGATATTACACTCTTGGTCGGATAAAAGCTTCAATATACAAATATCAATATACTAGAAATTTGTTGAGATCGTGGTTAAATTTAGTTTTGACACGAGGCTTATTGTTCTCCACTTTTGCTTTTGTAACATTGTAAATATTTTTCATAAAATGTAACTTTTTACGTCACATTTACATGGCCGGCCTGTCTATGTGAGCGAATTTTTTGGCCCCTGGTCCAAAAACCTTGCTCACCCCTGCCCTTACTGATTAAAACGCATGTTTATTGATCGCTTATAACAACGATGTCGCCGCCAGTCGCCTTCAAAAACTATGTATCCTTTTTGGCATACACTTGAACAACAAAATATGTGTTAGCGCTATATTTTTGAGTCTTCGATTCGCGTAAAAATGAAACATGCTCTGAATCAACCCAGGGGTAATTTATTAATCTTTTAAATCGAGTTTATTATGTGCAATCTTTTTCCTAACATGAATTTTTTTACATGCACTACTAAATTGCAAGCAGATGTACCGCATTGTATTGACGAGTGGCATCTAACATTTGCGCACGCGACATAGTAAGAAGTATATGAAATTATGTAGAAGCATTGTAGTCAAAAGCTTTTTGTTTTTTATATAGACATGTAAGAATTACGAAATAGCCGCCTAGAATAAACGGTAGGTGATGGGCTGAAAATGCAGTTCACAACTAAGGTGCACATTGACTTTGATCTTGGTGTCGCAGACTTATGCTGGCCATTTATGGTCCTTCGCGACTTCTAGTCAATTGCAATGAAATCCGTTACTGTAAAGCATAAATATTTTTTTCCTATTTTAATTTGTATTGTGATTTCTTGCACGACGAAATAAACTTATTGTCCATTGACCCACGTTTATATTTGTATTATGGACCCCCAAAAAGAGAAAAAATATATTTTTGAAATGATTCAACAGCTACCTGCGGAACCATTAGGCAAAAAATATGAGCTACGAGCCTACTGCGTATGTTTGTGAGCGCACGTTGCTGTATCATGGTCAAAATCGTGTTTTTTTTTTAATTTTTTTCATTACGTCACGGACTCAGCAGATTCGATTCGAGTCCTTGTTCCTTACCTATTCTCTGTGATGCCGGACTCGTCCCATCCCTAGTAGTAAGTGAGTAAACAGGGTGGAGTACTGGAGTAGTAATTTAAATTGAAGACATTGAAAAAAACATGATGTGCCCAATCACCAACTAACGCTCACACTCAAAAAGCAAATTCACAAACAAAAAAATACGGGATATTGAGATTGAGGTTACTTTTGAAAGGTATTTCTCACAATGAATAAAAATGAACTAATTCTTATCACCACAAGGGTGTTTGAACGCTTGAGTGGCTTTCAGTAAAATCATCATATTTTGGGACTCTCAAACAACGCTTTTCTTGTGTTTATGGTAAATTCATTTATACGGCCGTATTCATATACATAGAATGGCCAAGTCAAGATTATTTTATCCAACTAGTGAAAAACAATCATATACAATATTCAAAAAATGGGTAATCGTACAATTTTTCTATGGACGGGGAATCAAGCGGAGATTCTCCGTCTCGAATGGGATTTACCGTATAGATAGATAGATAGTTTATTCGAAGACTCCATAATGAACACAAAATATAAAACGAGAATTCTGGAGATCGGTAGCCTATATGATGCATTCAGACAAATTTATAATTAGCCACAAGTGACATCATATATGACACTGAAGCAATTAAATTATTAAAACAAGTCATTTTAAACAGCCTCGTATTGGTCGTGAATATTTGGCGCAACTGAAAATTCTTTACGGTACCTAAAAAAGCTGGCTCTTTTAGTGAGCGGTCATGCACTGGCGGAGGCGCAGTTCTCACCACTTCATGGCAGCTCCTGCCACGAGCGTACCACGCCGTCTCCTGCCATGGTTTTATGGCGCTATTACCGGTATATTTACAAAGTCATGTACACTATTTTAGTTTATTTTCATGCGTGATTATATCTACCTAAACCTAACCCCAAATCCACCCAAACTGTATCCATCAGAAAAACGTTCCAACTTACCCAATATTTATCACCATCAGGGGCAGCCCTGCTGTTGCATTCGACATGCCGTGGTTACGGCAGCAAAATTGGTGATATTCGATTTGCTGCTTGCTGCCGTTACGACGGCAGCTCGCTGTTGGTTTGTGGCAGCTAAAAAGTCAGTCGCCGTGGGTTTGGTCATAGTGGCCATGGTTTGAAAATCCCGCCATGGTCTTGCGGCAGTTCTTGACGCCACAAAATACTTGAAACTGCACTTGCACTGGTGAGTCGGCGTAAAGTTGTACACCATATGGTTAAGCTACCGTATCGTACTGGTATCGTTTTCCTCTTTTCCGAATGTGTAGACTAACTGCTATGGTACACACATTTGAAAAATAGCATCAATCACATTTTTTTGCTCTGAATGCCTGCTGTACCAGTACCGGTACGAGCAGAACTGGTGAATCAAGTTGGGCATTTTGTTGGAGCGTGCTAAATGTTGTCTATTTTTCGTTTTATTATGAATACTATTAGTGCTTATGCTGATAACATTTTCCTGAAAATGCCTAGCAATGAGATTGTCAAGAATATTTCGTCAACGGTCTTACCTAAATCAAAGCTACACTGCCATCCTGAGAAATTTTACGAATGTGAAATATGTGGGGAACATTTTAATCGTGCATCAAGTCTTGGAATACATATGAAATCACATGAATGTCATATTTGTGGAATGTCATTTGGACTTTATCGCACTCTCAAAATTCATCTTACAGTTCACACAGCTAAAAAAACACATAAATGTGAAATATGTAGGAAGCGTTTTATAAGGAAGGTTGCTCTGAAAACTCACATGCAAAAGCATATAAAACGAAAGCAAAAGAGACAGAAGAAAGTTAGAGAAGTATCAGTGGAAATGAATACAGTATCCAGTGGAGTACTTCCTACAAACCAAAGTTCCCGGACACTTGAGACTCGCAATGATAACAAACCTTATCAATGCAACATTTGCAAGTTTTCTTTTGATTACTTTGTTGATCTTAAGACACATTGTGTAATAAACGGTCATTTACTTTGTAAAGAAATGTTTACTATGGCCAGTTCTTCAAGAAATGATGTTTCAAGCAGTAAACATGGAAATCCATCTGTTGGCATTCCACCAGTCAACGCAGCTGAAAACTCTAGTAAAATGCTTCCACAAAAAATTGTTAAAAAAGAGGACAAATTAAATTTTGAAAATCCTTTTTTATTTATGACTCCTGAAGAAAACAATTTGGAAAATTTTATAAAACCGCTAATTGGTAAAGTGAGACGCTATGCCTGTCTGATTTGTGGAAAAACAGCGAAACGAATGTCAACTATGAAAATGCACATTATGGTACACTCGCATAAAAAACCACACAAATGTGATATTTGTGGAAAATCATTTGGACTTATTCAGAACCTTAATCGACATACGCTGACTCATTCAAATCAAGAGGAACTCAGATGTGATGTATGCAAAAAAGATTTCACACAAAGAAAAGACTTAACAGATCATATAAGGGAATATCATCGGTTTAGCGGCCATATTAATAAACCTGGCGATACACAGCAATTTGAAACAAAACAAGCTGATGAGTCATCGAATTTCAAAGTTGCACCAAAACAAAATCCTGTCATAATTAAAGAAGAAATACCTGAATTTACAGAACTAAACGAAGCCAGCGGTCTTGAGTTAACATGCAATGGAAAGCCATATGAATGTGATGTATGTGGGGAGACATTTACTTTGGCAGCATCACTGCATCTACACACTTTACTCCATAACAATAACCATATATACATTTGCCGTGTGTGTGGTAAAACATTTTTGCAAATGTGTGATCTCAAACAACATTCTATATTGCATCATTCCAATAGAAAATCATAGCAGGGCTCTGGAGTGGAAAGATTTACAACCGACTCCCGACTCAAGGTTGGAAAAAATTCTCTTGACCTCAGATAAAAAATGTCTCGACTTCAACTCCAGTATGAAAAAGTAGGGCTTTAAATGGTTGACCGATTTTGAATGGTTGACGATTACGATTTATTTAACAGTTAACTGACATCTCAGATACAAATCATCTTTATCAAAGTTATCTCCTGCGGCGTTTCATTCAAAAGAATATCACTAACCGCATTGGTAAGGAGCCAAAATATGTGAAAAATAATTGAAGTACCGAGATTGCTGATTATGGAAATTTGACAATGATAAATTCCCAACTAGTTTTTGGTCGAAATATATAGTTCACGATTTTATTGCAAAATCGCATATTCAATGTCATCCAACAAGTGCGCAGTTGATGCTGTTTTTTTTGTGATATCTTAGAGTAGAATTTGCACGTTGAACACTGAAAATTTGTCACATAAATGACATTTAAAAACGGATTCTGGTTTTACTAAGATACTTTCATATGTCCGAAGCACGCTGCATATCTCTTGCAGCAGAACGATGATGAAACTATCTCCATTCGTGAATAATTTTGAGCGATGCTGCGATGAGATCACTCGAAATTGCTTGTAACCATTGTGACGTAACAAGCTATAATCATTACGTCAAACGAACATCACGCTGCAGTTAACCGGTAAATTTTACCCGGATAACGGTTGAAGTGTTTTCCCTGAAATTCCCAGCACTATGAAAGAGTCATTGACCTTGACTAAAGCTGTGCATTCAGAGAAAAAAAAATTTAATCACAATGACTTTAAAATAGGTAAGCAGTAGGGCTGGGAATTACAGGGAAAACACTTTAACCATTAACCGGGTAAAATTATCCAGTCAACCGCAGCATGACATTTCACATGATAATTTTACCTTGCTTCGCCACAAAGGTTACAAAGCAATTTTGCGTGACCTTATCCCGGTATTGCACAATCGATCGCTCTGCTGCTGCTGAGATATGCAGCGCGGTAGCCAGTAGGACATATGGGAGTATTTTAGTAAAACCCGATTCCGTTATTGAATGTCATTTATGTGACAAATTTTCAGTGTTTGATGTGCAAATTCTACTTTGAGATATATAAAGAAAAGCAGCATCAACTACGCACTTATATATTTCGACCGAAAACTGATTCATAATTAACTATCGTCAATTTTTTATATTCAGTTTTCTTGGTACTTCAATTGTTTTTCACGTTTATTAGGTACGTTCTTTTGAATTAAACGCCACAGAAGATAAATTTGCGATGATGTAATCATTTTTGAAAGAATTTTACATTATAAGGATGATTTGTACCTGAGATGTCAGGTAAAGGTTAAAATAAATCTTAACCGTTAACCATTCCCAGCCCTAGTAAGCAGTCTTTAATAGTCTGAAACTTGACTTCCGATAATCACCAATGAATTGTTCTATTCAATCAAATCTAAGTGTAAAAATGTCAAGTCATTTAAAGTAACTGGTAACTATGATGTCCAAGGAATTTTGCTTTTATCCGCTTTACTTGAGAACATAGATAATCAAAAATACTGTTTTTTTATAGTAGTTTCCATTCAAATACGAAGTAAAATATTGTATGTTTTATAGACTTGGATATAAGATTTGAAATATTTCTTATGCGAGTATTGGACAACCGACTGGTTGTGACTTGTGGTTACATTAATTTTTATGAGGGGGTTTTGAAGTATTACTGTGAACTGTGCCCTAAATAAGCAGCCACTGATAGCCCGAAATTCGGGCCGGGTCGAGCTTTTCCATCGCTGAATTTTTTTTAAAATAAATATATGTTTATAAAAAATCAGGTTTGCTTCGAGCTCGGGCCTGCAAATCCAGTTAAGTAGTCGGGCTCAAGTCAGGTTTAATACATATGGGCCCGGGTCGGGCCAGAATTTTTGGACCCGATCTTACCTCTAATTCTGGGTGAGGCAATACGCTTGGGGTTGGAATCAAGATTTTTACCCTGTGATGCCAACATGTATCTGTATCGATTTTTTCTTAGAATGATTTACTGTTCAAATATTTTCTTTAACTTTATTCAATAGTGATATAGTGTAAGATGAGTTGACACATTTACAAGTGTAAGCGTTTACTGCAAGGAAGTATATAAACTCTACACTTGTATATGTTCAATATTACTGTATTGCTTCTAAGTTTGCCAAGTTTACTCAGAATTTTTTCCAACTACCAAGGGCACTCATACAATGTGATTTGATTAAAACTACTTCCAAGGCTTTTCTTACTCTGAAATGAGATTAAAATAAATCCAACTTTGTTTATCACGCATAGTCAAATGGCTAGATTGCTAACAAGGAAGTGCAGCACGCTGATATGCCACCAGCTGTACACTGATACAGAAACCTGTAGCATTATAACAATTTGGCTATGCTTATGCGTGATATACGAGTTTGGATTTTTTAATCTCATTTCAGAGTAGGAAAAGCTTTTAGGAAGTTTTAATAACATGGTATGCATGGCTTTGGTAGTATGTCGTTTGGAACGTATCCTGGAGGACCTAGAGTGAACATAACTTTTGAATACAATCATAAACAACAGAAGTTAAGTGTTAAATTTTTTTCGTGGCAAGTTCAGTTTCATTGGTCACGCGGTAAGTTTATTTTGTGATCGAGATGCCAGATGTTCAAACAAGACTTGAAACACTACAAAATACTACCAGGGAAATCCCCAAATGTGTTCTTCCCATACGATGTCAGTAAAGGGGTTTTATTTTTTGTTACGCCTATTCACACCTTTGGCTTCAAATAAGGCCCTGATGTCTAATGATATTTTAGTTTGTCATTGCTTATCCAAGTCTTTGCATTGTACCCCATGGTGCAATATGGGACTTATTTAGTGACTGAGGAGTCAGACTGTTAACTCCACATGGCCAGAAGCATCTTCCAACAAATGAAACCTTACATTCGCAGGTTCAATGGACGATTCAATGAAAATTTACTATCAATTCCGCTGAAACAGGTTTAGATTTCAACCACATGTTGATAGACCTGAGGAAGTGAAACTTTTTTCAATGGACTGCTATGAACATTTATTGCACTAAATTTTTGTCAAAGATATAACTTTAAAGAATTGAAGTAAACTCATTATTACAGGGCTGTCCAACCAGGCTTGGTGTTGGTGTCGGAACAAGATGTTGTTGAGTATACCTGTTTTACTATCAGTACAACCTACACAAGCCCACTGTACTGCATCGATTCTCAAATAAATCAGCATGTCTGACAAAATCATACCAAATATTTATGCATAGAGTCAAAAAAAAAAAATACATATATAAAAATATGACTGACCGATTCACAAAAAATTAGCATAGCTAAGAGATACACGACAATGAAAGACAACAATTTATATATACTCCGTGATTTATACTTGGTCAACATTGACAAATGAGCAGGTTGTTCCCAAAGTTAATTGACCAAGGGCCAAAATTAGAAGCGGAAGTATATTCGCGGGCTGGGAGAGGGATGCGTCCACAAGTGCACTCAGTCGCCCTGATAGAATTTAATTAAATAGGCACTAAAATGATGCAAGATTGATTTTAGATACACCCAGTGTCACACTTTGTTAAGTAATAAAATTAATAATCATAATATTTGGGTGATAGAATACCCAAGCATTCCTTTTAACATGGAATTTGCAACTGCCTTAATATATATGAATGAAATACCAAAACAATAAGATGTGATAATGACATAACAATAGGCGGTATAGAACACAAAAAGGTAGCAACATGCGAGTCCGTGGAGAACCATTGGTCTTAAGTCATTGCTATATAACATCTATATATTTTGCGTCTCAAATTGACAAAAATGGCTGTGCTTCACCAATAATATATAAGCTTACAAATTTCAATAAAAGCCCTTTACTTATATGCCAGAGATCAATTCACATTAAATTGAACATTTCACAATCTGATTTACCGCAAATTGTGGGTGGTATAGGTAAATGAGTTTGAAACATTCAATTTAAATTGTGTTTCCTGATATAAATAAAACAGAAAAAACCTCATGAAGTCCCAATTTAATTTGTCCCAAAGTAGGTCCTGATTATAGACCTCTTTACGAATCTAGGTCTCGGTGATAGAGTGAACTTTAAATGGCTTCCCCTCATAGGGCATGGCATGTTAAGGTCTATGTCTACATCACTATTTGGAGGGCCACTTGGTCTGCCATCAGCACGTTTGATTTTCACCAATCGTATTATTTTGCGATAATGTGCCTCAAGTGGAAATGAAATGGTACATATTGAGATGCAAGCCATTAATTCTCTGCTCTCATATCATACATGACTTGGATAAAATAAATAGTTAAATTTATTTGTAAAAAAGGGTTAAAACATAAAACTAAAAAACATAATATACTGCTTGGTATATAAACATAGGGCTCAGGGCAGGTCAAATTGATTCCGAATACATTAATACTACAATAATACTTTTTAAAATATTGAATGTATATTACAAATTAGGTCAACAGGGAATAAATTGAAGTCAATTTTTAATTAAAGACCTAATCTAAAATTGCAGGAAAGTCGATAATCAGTTTGATTGATTCTCTATTTTTACAGTATTCAGTAATAGAAGCATTTTTGGTTATACTGTTGGACTTCAATTGCTGAAAACAATACTTTTGAGGAAATGTTGCATCTGCTCGTTAACAAAAATTTCTGTGATTGAACCTATAAAAAGTCTCACACAGCCTCTTTATTGTTTTTGTTTAACTTGTACAAGTCATCAGCTAATTTCAGAGCTCTGTCCGACCCTTCGCAGGCTTCAATCCACTCAGGTGGAATCATCTCAATTCCGTAATACGCTCCAGCGATCGCCCCGGCCATTGATGCAACAGTGTCAGAATCCAAACTTATTGCCGCAGCGTAGATAACAGCCCGTACAAGTCCGTTAAATTTTGATAATTCTGGAATGTTTTTTTCATTCAGGGTGTAAAGGAAACAAAAAATGGCAGCAGGTACGGCTTCATGTGCAGTGACATCTGTTTTGATACCCCCATTAATAACATCTTCCGCTTTCACCTTAATGAAAAAAAAAACTTCATTGCTACTTTCAGATATCGATATATAGCTAAAAACTTGTGTTTGACAAAATGAGGCATGGTGTGGCTTAGTAGTCAAATTCTCAATTTATTATTATCATACACCTAATGACAACTCAATTATTGTGTGCATTTCAGATATTCTTTCTTTGATTTATTATTCATCTGACTCAAGATTTACCATAAACACAATACTGTTAACTTGGCGCTCCAGAAGTGTGTGTACCAATATGGAGGTAACTAATTTCGTTTGCCTGCTTTACATCAAGTTGTGTGAAGGGACTGAAACCTATGGACAGGGGGTATATTCACTTGGCTGACACAAACAGTCCCCAAACTCGTAATAGAACTGAAATGAGAAAAAAAAATAAAAAATTATGGCCTAAGGTACACATACTACGGGAGTACCGTTAACTCTGTATGCGCATAATTTCCAGGGACCTCTAAATACGTACACATGGAGTGGCTGGTCTTTCCCCTGCAAATCCTTTAATTTAGAATAATGCTAATTAACACAATGTGAAGAGAATTCCCCCTTATAAATCGATAGCAATGATAGAACAGTAGAAGGCAAAACAACATAACTTAAGTTCAAGCATTTCATGATAATCAACAAAGATCTCTAGCAATTACCTCAGTTTTTTGTTCGATCAGCTTTATGACAATTTTCATTTTTTCATCGTAAACATCCAATTCTTCTTTCGTAGTTGTCACGTTTTCCAAATCCGTCATCAATTCTCTGGCGAACGAGACAGAATCACGAATACCTTCGGTTGTCATAGCTTTCTCGATAGCTAAAGCTTGCAAAATTGCTCCATTTATTCCCTTCGGGTTTGTGTGAGTCAACTTTGACTGATGTGAGGCTAATTCTGCAATTTTGACTTTGTCTTTATGATGAAACAATGGCACTGGTGATACTCTCATTGCCGAACCATTGCCATAGGAACCAGATCCGTTAAATTGTTCTTTTGCTGGATTAAAGGGGTTGCGATAATCATTTACTTTAGTCGACCGAAAAATAAAGCCAACATTAGCCCCATAATACCTTTGTGATGGTGCAGCAAAATAGGTTTCTCCGAAGTTTCTAGCGACATCGCGTGGAACGAATTCTTTACACTTGACGAGTGATTCACCAAGGTCGAAAGTCATGCAAGTGTCATCAGTATAGAAAACAAATCCCTTTTCTCCATCTTTTTGTGATCTTACTTCGTTTATTAAAGTTTCATAATATTTGACAACAGGTTTATTAGGCATTGGACCCCAAAAGTACTCAAATTTTGCACCAAGACAATCTCCAAACACAGCACCAACGATGGCTCCTTGAAATTTTGAGGCAAGTGACATTCCTTGAGATGATGCCATTTCAGAATCGTTATTAAAATAGATGTCTAGGATTATAATCTGAAATTGGTCAAATAAATTATTTTAAAAATTATATCAGAAGGCAATTTGAGTTGATTAGTCTGAGAATGAACAAATATGCACTAAAATGGAATGATTTGAAATAGATCAAAGATTGATGTTTGAAAATAAAATAAGTTCTTGTAATTGTAAACAGTTCTTCCATGAAAATCTAAAACAGTGGTTTCAAACGGTTTGGAACACATACCTTCCATGGCCTATTTTAAGCTCCCTAATTTCCCCTGTGAGAATAAAAAGTCTACTTGCATTTATTATTCAATCTTTAACCGAACATTTGCTTGCGATAAGAGTAACACGCACTCTAACTTTTGTAGCCTACAGGTATGTATTTTGATGTGATGTCACTTCTGCATAAACAAAAGCTTGGCATATCAAAATACTATAACAGCTTACAAGATTTATTTAGCCTGCTTCAAAAGTGCCACATGCAGAGTCCATAACTCAATAATCTTTATGGGTCTATACCTATTTACTAGACTTACAGGAAATTAATCATTAGCGTCTCATTAAGTAAACTTCATTCGTGGAAAAAAAGTAATTTCTGCACATTCTCATACAATGTATGGCGTAGTGATATACACGAATCATGTCAAGCAAGAGAGAAAAGTCTGTATTGCTCTATGTACAATGGATGTTTGCTGAAAACAATGTGAATCATGGTTCTGTAAACAACATTTTCTTAGTTCGCCATATGATAAGGCCAGTGGTTCTCAAACGGTGGGCCACGCCTGACAAGGGGGGCGTGGACAATTTTTTGTGAGATTTGATCTTGCCCACCTTTTTTGGATATTTACATTTCTTTACATTCCATCCACATAATTTCACCGTGTTTTTTCAAATTAAACATACTTTCGCCTGGTTCAGGCCATCTTATCAGCTTCCCTTTCCCACAGGATAAATGAAATATAAATATAACTTCAAATTCTATTGTCGCTTCAAGCAAACTTCAAGAGGAAAAATCCTACATTGAAGATGGAAAATTGCCACCAGTAGAACAATCATCAGTTCAGTTTGTGTGTAATAACTCCCATCTCCAATGCTAATAGTAATTCATGCACAAATCCCAGCGATGTATTGAAAATTACGATGCTGTCAGTTTCTTATGACCTTTTGCCGTCGGTTCGCCACCGACGCCTAATTTCACAAATCTATTAATTAAATTATATCTGTTAAAGAAAATAAGATGAATTTAAACAAAGTACCATGAATTCGAAAAGAACGACGCCTATTTTTACAACTGCAATTGCTAGAATGATTGTTCGCAAATGTAGATCTTAACTGCAAATATAAGTGTATGCATTCAAAATTGACAAAAATAGACATTTTTGCATTCCAGCTTTGAGTTTTTTTTATTAGATAGTAAATCCAATTAACTTTTTCAAAACTCACAAAATCCCATCATGTAATCTATACTGTAAATGCATGCAGAGAATAAAAAAAATATAGTGCCGGTAGGTAAGTGATATAATGAGTGACACTGATATATAAAAAAAATAACAGAGATTCAGAAAAAAGATTCAAACACCTAAGAGGTAAACAACAATAAAATAAAACATAAGTCATACAATTGGTATTTGTGCCTGGTTAACATTGACAAATGCGCTGGTTCAAACACAAGAGGTCTAAGCCAATCCCTGCACATATTCTCTGTTTTTACGATACTCTTATAGTGTGCAAGCCATCGGACACCAGAATGTAGTATGTTCACCAGGTTAGGGTTAGGCCATAATTTTATTTTCGTTCTATTACGAGTTCGGGGACTAGCCAAGTGACAACCATAGTATTTGTACCTGAAATTATGGCCTAACCTGGTACATATACTACGTTCCGGTGTCAGCCATCTTGGTTCACATACTACGGGAGCACTGTTTTTACAACTACAATTGCTAAAATGATTGTTTGCAAATGCAGATATAAACTGCAAATATAAAAGCATGCATTAAAAATTGACAAAAATAACGTACAAATTTTATTAAAAATAATTCAATTTAAAACAGGAATTATAATTATAGGAAAATTTAGAAAAGTAGAGGTAAAAGTAAGTGCTTTTCTCAGGTAATTGCTTTGATGAAAACTATAGTTGAAGCATAGGACAGCAAATAAACAGACTTTCACAACATCTGGGATCAAAACCCAATCTTTTGAATCAAAGAGCTTCACATGCACTATGTTTTATTAATTGCAATTCATTCATTTATGTTGTATTCAAAACCTTGATGAAGGAAAGACAAAATGAGTAGTTCATGAATAAGGTCAAATATTGAAAACAAGGTCAAATTCAAAAAGTAAGACACAAATATGGATAGCAAAGAAGCCGCAACTATAGACCTCTTTTGAAATGTAGGTCTTGCAGAAAGACAAATATTTTAAGAACAAATTTAATAATTGAACACCTTAGTGTGATTTATGATAAGTCAGGTGTAAGGGGAATGATTGTATTGTCTTCTCCTTAGGGGTCTATCTACAACAGGCTAAGAATTGGGATGGATATGCTCCCAATCATAGTTTGAATGGCCTCCTCTGTGGATGGCTATTGGGGCTGCCATACAAACAGTAAGGAAGGAATAGGAATGATTAGGGCTGGGAATTTTCAGGGGAAACACTTTAACGGTTAACCGCAGCTTATGTTTGACGTGATAATCTATAATTTTAGCTTGTTACGTCACACCGGGTCAAAGCAATTTCGCGTGATTTTATCCCGGTATCGCTCAAAATGATTCATGAATGAAGATAGTTTCATGATCACCATGCTGCAAGAGATATGCGGTTCGGACATATGGAAACATTTTACTAAAACCCGAATCCGTTATTATTAAATGTCATTTATCATTTATGTCATAAATTTTCAGTGTTCCACGTGCGAATTCTACTCTGAGATATCATAAAGGAAAACAGATTCTGAATTTATCATTGTCAAATGTTCATAATTAGCAATCTTGGTACTTCAATACAGTTACAGTTAGTGATATTCATTGAATTAAACGCTACAGAAGTTTAATTTGCGATGAGTCGATGACGTAATCATTTTTGAAAAAATTGTACATTATAAAGTTGATTTGTACCTGAGATGTCAGTTAACGGTTAAAATTAATCGTAACCGTTAACCATCTAAAATCGGTTAACCATTCCCAGCCCTAGGAATGATATATGATTTCAATTGACATTTGAAGGGCCTCCCCATGGAGAACAAATTGGGTTGCAATATAAACAGCAGGTTAGGGATAGGAATGGATGTATGGTTTCAATCGTCATATGAATGGCCTCCTCTGAGGACAGCTATTGTGATGCTATATAAAAGGCAGGTCCGATTTAAAAAAATGATATTGTTTTCGATAAGGTGTCATAGTCAAGTTTATCTTTTCTAATCAGCAAAATAATAAGCGATAGAATTGCAAAATATTGAAAATATAATTTTGCTGGGGAAGGGAAGCTGCGGAGAACAATAAGCTATAATTTGTACAGACTCCTTATACTGCAATATATAAAAAATTAAATGAACGATGAAATTTATATTTAAGTTCAAGTGAGTAATAAACTTGGTCACTTGGAACATGACGAAGTGCCACATATTGTCACTTTTGGGACCCGGAAATGATAAGTCGATCTGCCAGACCCGTTTTATTGAGAATATTCAACACGTGAAATAGAAAAATGCGACACATCAAATGCAAAAAAACAACACAGTAATGATGACGACGACAAGATAGCGTTAATCACCACGATGACGATATACAATTGAACGAGCCCGAACTAAACTAAAACTTAGACCACGCGGACTGCCGACACATATATAATACAAAATTCATTAACTAGAGCAATAGCCTGGAGCAATCTAGTTTTAATTTAGAGTAATAGGAATAAAATTCAACTGGTTAGGAATAGAAAATTGAGCAAGATTGGCATAAAATATGGTAAAAAGTTTTGTATAAAGAACACCAACACATGTTAAAAATATGACAAAAATATAGGTAACATCAGACTTACTATTATTCTGGTCTGGGTTATTAAAGTCCGAAAATAAAATATTAAGTTCAGATTGACACAAGTCATGGATTCCATGCTTTTGTAGCATATATGATTTGAATAGTACATAATAAATAAATACAAAGTAAAAAAGATTGAATTTAAAAGCTCCCAAATTACTTCTACTAAGTATACAAATTTAAGACACAGGGATACTCAAAACGGTAAAATCTACTTTCGAATATATTCTAAAATAATATTGTTGAATGTCGAATATATATTATAGAATGGGCCATGCTTGAAAACTAACAAATTCAAGTTAATGTATATGCAATTAAACAATTCAGGAGTCCTGCTGCAACAACGACCTTGTTGTAAACTGCTTGTCTGAGGAAGTCTGATTTTGGTCAGACAAACGTTACAGAAATACATTTGTGTTAGTGTGCAACAGGACTCTTGAATTGCATATTGTGGTATTTTTAATCCTGCTACAGCATCCTTGCATTATACACATACGATGCACTAGCGCAGAGGCATTGAGGAAAGATTGGGAGTCAGTCTCACTTAACCTCTACTGATAGTTATATTCAATTATTCTGAAATGCAGGAAAGATAAGATAAAAAGTGATTTGATTGGTTTCATGACCTATTTTTTGTCTTTGTGTATCTTGTACAAGCCATCAGCTAATTTCAGAGCTCTTTCAGATCCTTCACAGGCTTCAACCCACTCAGACGGAATCATCTCAATTCCGTAATACGCTCCAGCGATCGCCCCAGTCATTGACCCTATGGTGTCAGAATCCTCACTTATTGCCACAGCGTAGATAACAGCCCGTACAAATCCGTTAAATTTGGATAATTCTGGAATGTTTTTTTCGTTGAGGGTGTAAAGGAAACAAAAAATGGCAGCAGGTACAGCTTCATGTGCAGTGACGTCTGTCAATATATCTGCATCCATAACGTCTTCTGCTTTCACCTTATTAATGAAGAAAAAAAAAATAGGTTTGGACTCTGGAGCTAATTCCAGATAATAGTATAACTACCTAACTTAACAAAACGTGGCAATATTGAAATGCTCAAATGCATATTAGTAGTAGGGCCAAGAATAGTTTTTGTAAATAAATATCTACTATATATCACTGCAAATCATTTTAGCTAATCACATTTTTAGGGTGTTGAGTAAATCATATTTTTTGTCCGTAAAATATTTCATGCCAGGCTAACAAATCTAAAAACAAACAGGTCGGTAATGCGGGGAGATGAAAAAAAGTCAAACTGTGGAAACATGACATAATGTACTTTGGTTGCAATACCTCAGTTTTCTGTTTTAGCAGTTTCACAACAATTTTAATTTTTTCATCGTAAACATCCAATTCCTTTTTCGTTTTTGTCAATTTTTTTAAATCTGTCATCAATTTTTTGGCAAACGCGACAGGATCACGAATATTTTCCGATTTCATCGCTTTCTCGATCGCTAACGCTTGCAAAATCGCTCCGTTTATTCCCTTTGGGTTTGTGTGAGTCAACTTCGACTGACTTGAGGCTAATTCTGCAATTTTAACTTTGTCTTTATGATGAAACAATGGAACTGGTGATACTCTCATCGCCGATCCATTTCCATAAGAGCCCTCTCCGTCAAATTGTTCTTTTGCTGGATCGAAGGGGTTGTGGTAATCATTTTCTTTTGTCGACTTAAAAATAGAGACGACATTTCCGCCATAAAATCTCTGTGGTGATGAAGCAAAGTAGGTTTCTCCAAAGTTTTTAGCGACATTTTGTGGAACAAATTCTTTACACTCGACAAGTGATTCGCCAAGGTCAAAGGTCATACAGGTGTCATCAGTATACAAAACAAACCCCTTTTTCTCATCCTTCTGTGAGTTTACTCTGTCTATTACGCTTTCGTAATATCTAACGACCCGTTCAGTTGGCGTTATACACCAACTTTCCTCAAATCTAGCACCAAGGCAATCCCCAAACAGAGCACCAAGTATGGTTCCCTGAAATTTTGAATTGAGTGACACTCCTTGAGATGAAGCCATTTTTAGATGGATATTAAAATAAATGTCTGTGATTAAACACTGAAATAATGTAAAGAAATAATATAAAATATACCAGGAAAAGGGGAATGAAGATTAGTTTAGTTTAAAAAGAACGCAGTGCATGAATTAACGTTGACGCAGTTGTATAGAACAATTTAAAAAGCATCAAAAATTAATTGCACTGATGCAAATCATATTGCCATATGATTAAGCTGTGTTATCGGCTTTCGTCTCCCCCGGGATGAATAACGGTACCCACTATGGGTATCGTTTGAATTCGTTTCTTATCTGTTCCATGGAGAGAAAGGAAAATACGCCTTACTGAATTGCAATCAACAATTACGGATTCTTATTTAGCATTATCAGTGCTAACTAAAAAAATGATTTTCCCGAAAGCAATAGTGTTTATGTGCAACGTTTTAAATTACCGGTGCATAGTCTTATCTTACAAAGTCTTATCTTGTTTAATTTACGGCCAATATACGCGAACAACAGCATCACTTTAGGTATTTATTTAGGAGCTATGTTAAAGTATTGAACTCAGGAATTGGACCCGAGTCCTGCCCAAATACTCGGATTCGGCCAAGCCGACCTTTTTGGATTCGTCGCATCACTAATGAGACATCTTTGCTGGCAGGCACAAATGTAACAGCAACATGAATAATGCATACTGACAAAAGATAACATACTCAAATTACTGTGCGCTGGAAGAGGCAGAAGTAAGCGTTTAGTTCAAACCCAAGTTTTAATAAGCAATACCCACATTATTACATCCAATGCACAAACCAATAAGCCATTGAACCTGCCCTCCATATGTAACATTCCTTAGAAAATAATTTTACCTTTTCGTAAAGATCTTTGAATCACAAAACAATGTCCTAATGAGAGATTCAAGCAAACAGACGAGATCTAAGATGAACACAAACATTTTGGGATAGATTGATGTTCGTGCTTCTGACAGGTCACTTTGAATGTGAAAATCCATCTGTTCAGTTGGTGTGTAATATTTCCCAATGTTGATCCTAACCAGTGTTACGCTATAATTATCAAACTGCTTTCTCTTGTGTCATTTTACTGGCAGCTCACAAGCAACACCTATTCCTCTAGATCTAATAATAAATCTGAAAGGAAAATAGATGAATTTAAACAGAGGATCACAAATTTGATAAGATTAAACTTGTTACTGTTGGTTTGGCAATGATAAAATGGCAGTTTTATCAAGCACATAAAAATGTAAATACAGAATGTTGGAAAAATAGAAAATACAAAAAAAATTGAGCCGATTTTGGAGTTTATATTATGACATATAGCAGGAGTGTTTCACAATATACAACAAAATTTTGATGTTTTTCCCCAAGAAGTTGAAATTTACTTATATTTCAATTTTCCTATAGGAATAGATGAATATGAACAGATTCATATAGACTTGCACTGTATTAGGCAAGTGCAGTTTCAAGTATTTTGTGGCGTCTAGAGCTGCCGCAAAACCATGGCGGGATTTCCAAACCATGGCCGCTATGACCAAACTCACGGCGCTTGACTTTTTAGTCTCCACAAACCAATAGCAGGCTGCCCTCGTGACGGCAGCAAATCGAATACCACCAATTTTGCTGCCGTAACCAAGGCATGTTGGCTGTAATAGCAGGGCTGCCCCTGATGGTGATAAATATTGGGTAAGTTGAAACGCTTTTCCTATGAAAACAGTTTTGATGTGTTTGGGGTTAGGTCTAGGTTTAAGTAGATATAATTCCGCATGATAAACCGGAATACATGACTTTGTAAATATACCGGTAATAGCACAATAAACCCATGGCAAGAGACATCGCTGTACTTTCGTGGCAGGAGCTGCCATGAAGTGGTAAGAACTGCGCCTCGTATTAGGTCCCACATCAACTGGCATGTAATACAATAGCATAATATCTCCTGAACTCTTTATATTTCAGTGATTGCAAATAAATTTGCTCATACACGAGTCTTTTACTTCTGAGTACGAGTGACTTTGCTCTGAATTTAAATTTTAATAAGAAACAGTTCTATTTTCCATCGCACATCGGTTTGGCGCCAAGCAGAGATAACACAGTAGTAATGCAAAAGTTCTTCATTTTTGAGTGAGTGCACATGAGTTTGCTATATAAATTCTCATAAAATAAACGAACCCCTTTGTCCAACTCGCTTTACTAGAACCGTGATAAATAGTTAAAGCTCAATGCTTGTGATAAAACTTTCAGTAGAAGAAGTCGCAGTCTTAAAAATTTTAATGTTCATAAAATGACACATAGAAATTATAGTCGCTCTGCAATTTTGCATTCCAGCTTTGAGTTTTTCTCGTTGTTGAGTGTTTTGTGACGCTTTCACAGCCTCTGCCTCTGGGACAGTAAATCCTATTAACTTTCTCAAAACTTCGTTTGAAAATTCTGCATCTAATGTGTCCGTCCCATCACAGATTCTTGCTTTTAATCCCCAGCCTATAAAAGCATCAGATCTTAGCTTTGATAATAGAGTTACGACGATGCATTTTGAACGAACATTGATTTCTTTTCGGCCTTGATATTTTGATAAAAACACTTTCGCTTGACACAGATAATCCATTTGATTAGTTTCTGGACACTCTGGATCCTTTTTTACGACGGAATTTAATGTATACGATGGCTTCACTTGTGGTATAGTTGAAGCTTGAATATGGTGAGACTTTGGTTTTAACTTTGTCTCATTTCTGGAGTTTAAAACAGGAATATCATCATCAAATATTTCCATATTATCATCTGACATTAATAATGCTGAGGCCTCATCTCTATTTGTATGTGTTGATAACTTTTTTGGCGAGATGAATTCTGTGTGCTGTGATGGCCTATATTCTTGCTTATATGAGATATTTGTTTTACTAGGCTGAGGAAAGTTTCCTGAGGCACCACGCTGCATTGAATTTGGATCAGATTTAGTTGGTTTCTGAAACAAACTAGAACCTGGCATTGCTTGTTTCTGATGGAGTGTTTCAGACTCTTTTTTTATTATGACAGAATTTGATAACTTACTTACTTCAGTATTTTTGCTGCCAAAATTGGATGAATTTATTGCTTGTTTTTCAAGTGAACTGCAACCCGGCATCGCTTGTTTCTGATATAGCATTTTTGACTCTTTCTTTATTATGGCAGAATTTGATAGCTTAGGTACTTTAGGATTGTTGATGCCAATGTTGGTTGAATTTGTAGCTTGTTGTTCATTTGTATTATTAACCAAATGCTTATCCAAGTCTGCATCTGCTAGTAAGTCATCAATACCCTCCTCATCGTCAGAAATTGTGATAATATCAAATTTTTTACCACCAATATTCTTGATAGTAGAAGTCGATGACGTCACGCAATCTTTTTGATTGCACGATCCGGTATCTTCAAAATGGGTTGAAACTAAGCTTGAAAGTACGGCATCGTCCATAGAATCATCAAAATCTGCATCGGCCATGATTTGATCCAACTCAGCATCATCGAAATCTACATCAACATCTCTTGAACTAGATTGGGCTTGATTCTCAAAACTACCAAGAACTCTTCGCTGATTGGTTTTTGTATTTATTGTTCTGTTTTGAATATAATTTCCATGACCACTTTGGTTGGAATTTGCAACATTTGTTCGATTTCGAGCATTTTCATTTCTTGAATTCGGCTGATTTCGGCTTTGATTTCCAGAGCCTAGAAGGTTTCTTTGTCCCGGATTTGCAACATTAATTGTCCGATTCTGTGGTGTTTCATTTCTCGTGTTTGCCTCCGATATGTTAGTTTGAGCAGTAGGGTTTGTTGGAATAGGCCTGTTCAATCCTCTACAAAGCATAGCTTCATAGTTACATGATTGAAACATATCTTCCACTTCTCCTCCTAATATATCAATATTATTTTGTTTCAACATCATAACTCCACGTCTACAAATAACAGGTCCTTGTATAGTTATTTTCGTACCAGGGGTTATTTTTTCATTTATTTTTGGTATTTGGGTATATTCCATACCAGATATTTCCTGTACGCCATCAGTAATGCTCATCATTAGCATTCGTGAAGGCTTTGCTTCCCATGGCTTTTGTGTCGCTTGCGTTTCCGCACACACAAACATATTAGAGTTCTCTTTATTTTGTCTTTGTAATAACTGTGAGTATTTTGGCTGTGAAACATCTAATACATTGTCAATTTGGACACAATAAATCCCTTTTAAAGTATAAGCATCATTTGTGATTTCAGAAGGAAGGCATCCTTCTCCAAAGTCTCTCAAATCAGTCAAAAGCCATTGCTCGTAAACTAAATTCCTGATTGTCGTAGGATCAGTAGTGTTCGAATTCTCAGATTGCAACCATTCCAAACATGCTGAAACCCAGTCATTGGGAACTGAAATATGCTTTGACTTAAACCAGGCAGAAATAGCGTTTGTTGAAGTTGACATGACGCAGGTAAATGCAGTCTATATATATTTTAGTTTTATTGATACTGCAAATATTGAATATGTTTTAAGATTTCAAACATGAATTGTAATTCAGCTGTCAAAAGAGTGAATCTCATTCAAAAAATCAAATGTTTTAGGGAAAAAAATTTCATTTTTCATTTAAATCTGTAAATGCAGCATTACTAATGCTATTTACTAATTTCGGTATTTAACATTACTTTAATGCTTACGAATTTGTCAAAAAGTATCTAAAATGTACAAAAGTCAGATTACGAAATGTAGGCTACTTATATTATGTTTCAAAACACAGAAATATGGAGTACACAACACAACAACTCATACAATATATAGTATTGTAAAGTATTATGGGCCTAGTGATCTTTATGTGCCATCTCTCAAAACAATGTTTATTTTGAAGATATTGAACAATATTTAGTGTTCATATAACAGTATGAAGCATCTGTTATTTCGGCATTTAGTATTTATATAGCTAAATGGACTACGGTATTTTTCTTTAAATCATCTAGTTGTCCCCAAAATCAAAGGAAATTAGGTAAAATTAGCAGATACTTTTTGCATATCAACAAGACTCTAAATTTCTTTATTGGGGTCTTGTGTAGTTTCGTACCTAATGTACTTCTAGTGGGCGTTTTTTGATTAAGTCAATCCTAACCCCCATCTGACTACGCCATCCAAAAATTACGTCACTACGACATCACAATCACGTCATAGAGCTTGCCAAATATACATACAATCGCCCAAAATGGCATTGGCGCCGACGATAAAGAACTGACTAACATTATCGATCTTTCTCCTATTGGAATCATTGCGACGAAAAAACGAGAGAAATAACTGTTCGATTTCGGGTACTAGTTTGCGCGTCTTGGATGGCAGTTCGTATAGTTTGAAGGGCTCTATTACGTCACTGTGAGTCTGTGACGTCGTGTTGACATGATTTTTGGATGGTGTAGTCAGGTGGGGGTTAAGTAAAAATTGTCATGCTACGCCCACTAGAAGTATTTTAGGTACAAAACTACATGAGACCCCTTTATTGCTTAGATATTTTTATTTCACATTCAGTCTGTCTAGTGATTTTCCTACACCACCCTTCCGCCTAATTTTTAGGTGTGACAGCACATTTCAGTTTCTTCTAACATAAATATAATTAGAGGGTCTACCTTTAATAAATTTTCTTTAATAAAAAGAAAGTGATCCGCTATGACTCACCGTACGAGTGCTGGAGTGAGAACAGGATAATGGGTCAGCCAAACACATTTTATCCCTAAATTGGGCATACAAAACATGACAATTGCCTTAAGTTAAAACCTTGACAGCTATACGAAAAATTACCGGTAAGGGCAGATGTAGAAATTCCTGACGTAACCTAAATTTACCTGAAAAGAGTCGTAATTTTCTTGCAGTCATCGTTTTATAAACATTTCAAGACTGGGAGAACAACAATCAAAAATACATGGTAGAGTAGCGCCACCTAGCGAATGTTAGTTAGGCACATTGGACTTTTCTTTTATTTGAGCACATGTCCTTGGTTGCTAAATCTTATATAAGAGTAATAAACATTTGAGTATGAACTAAAATTTATTTATAACAACACGAATACTATATGAACAGGTATCGTTACTAGCGTGTAATCGACATTAGAATTTTTAATTCATGCCGCGGGAAAATAAAAATGGCATGTACAAAATACAAATGTAGCCATGTGAAATACAAAGAGTCAGGGACAACACTAAAAGGCTGAAAGAAGAAACGGATGAGGTGAAGGAAAAACGGAAGTTGAGGTGTTCCCAAAGGTGAAAAATTGAAAAACACTAAAAGGCTGAACACTAAAAGGAGGAAGTGGATGAAATTTCCTCCGACGGGTGGTGAGGTGTCTGAAGTCACTAAAAAGCTGAACACTAAAAGGAAGAAGTGGATGAAATTTCTTCCGACGGATAATGAGGCGGTTGAAGTCACTAAAATGATGAACACTAAAAGGAAGAAGTGGATGAAATTTCTTCCGACGAATAATGAAGCGGTAAAAGTCACTAAAAAGATGAATACTGAAAGGGAGAGGTGGTTGAAATTTCTTCCGACGAATAATGAGGTGGTTGAAGTTACTAAAAAGCTGAACACTAAAAGAAGAAATGGTTGAAATTTCTTCCGACGAATAATGAGGTGGCTGAAGTCACTAAAAAGCTGAACACTAAAAGGAAGACGTGGATGACATTTCTTCCGACCAACGACTCTTCCGACGAATAATGAGGTGGTTGAAGTCACTAACAAGATGAACACTGAAAAGAAGTGGATGAAATTTCTTCCGACGAATAATGAGATGGTTGAAGTCACTAAAAACATGAACACTAAAAGGAAGAAGTGGATGAAATTTCTTTCGACGAATAATGAGGTGGTTGAAGTCACTAAAAATCTGAACACTAAAAGGAAGAAGTGGATGAAATTTCTTTCGACGAATAATGAGGTGGTTGAAGTCACTAAAAAGCTGAACACTAAAAGGAAGAAGTGGATGAAATTTTTTTCGACAGGTGGTGAGGTGGCTGAGGTCACTAAAAAGCTAAACACTAAACGGAAGAAGTACGGTAGATGATATTTTGTTCTATCGATTTTGAGGCGGTTGAAGTCACTAAAATACCGAACATTAGGAGAGTTAAATAGCCTAAACATATCCCGACGGAAGTGAGATTGGATGAAGACCCTGAAAGCGGACTGATGAGTAGGCATGCCACTTTTAGATTTATGAATTGAATCGATTCAAATCGCAATTCATTTCGAATCCGATTTACGCGATTCGAAAGAAAGAGAGCCGTTTAGCGAAGAAGAACAAACACTCCAAATAACACCAATTGCCAGACGGGAATGTAAATGAATTTTTCGTTATTCACTTCTATTGATCTGCCTTCGTTCATTTTCAAGTTCAGCGCAACACACCCTGGTCATCACTCGAGATGCTGACGTGCTGTGTGGGTAATTAATTTCCTTCAATCTGTCAGTTGAGTTTTCCACTGAATGACCTAAGTTTCTATCACACGCAAATTTAAATGAATCGTATACCCGAAATTTCGTTGCAATTTTGTTAATAATTTGCAACAGCACACCTTCTCTGCGACTAAGTTATGGTACGCCTTGACATGAATTAATAAACGATCAGATACCGACTTCTAGAAAACATTTAATTTTGATTGAAATTTAATTTAAACTCCGTTGAGAGTGAAATATTTCGCGTATATATTTGAAGAGAACTATTACTGAACAAGTTCATTCGCCGGGCATGTTAATTGACGATCATGTTTTTTTTATCCTGACATTTATATTTATGCTATTTTATTCCCATTTGTTGTACCTCCATTTGAGTGGCGGTAAACGAAATGAGGGAACACGTGGTAGAACACTTCTTGCAGCAGTAATCATAAAAGAAATGTAGTATTTTCTCCTAATCGTTTTCGGTTGGAGGTTTATTTTAAATGGTTTAATTACTTTTTTGTGTTCGAGCCAATTCCTGAAAGCATTTCTTATTTATAGTTATCCAGATGCAATTAAAATGCCTTGTCTTATTACACTATGCTGCTAGCATGAATATATGCTCGGTATCTCCTTGTTTAGCAAGCTCTATCGCAATAATGAGCCCATATATCACAGAGATGACAAAGATCTGTGTGTACAAAGTTTTCCTTCATGTATAACCCAGAGTCACAAATTATTGTACTAATATTTTAGAGATAAAAAATCTGTAATGAGTCCAGCCTTAAATTAATATAACAATAAGTGAAATACCACAGTCACATATTCTGGGGTGGGACTGCGGGAACCAATGCTGTTACTGTTGCAGCACTGTTTAAGATGTTACAATAGAATTGTTTCCTGCGCTTATTTTCACAATTGAGTTGCATCAAATTGCTTCAGTCCTAAGGGGATGGTTGGTCAATACCGAATAGTTCACTATTTCGAATACATTCGAAAATAAAATAAAGTAATTGAGGCTTATCTATAGTAGCCTATATAAAGGAATTTGCATACAATAAACAATGTCATCAACAACATGTTGTCTACCATGCATTTCATGTTTGCAGATTACTGCTATATATTTTCATATACCATGAGTTACGTTATCAGAATCAAATTAATACGGCAAGCATTTAAAATAGTGCTATCGGTCATGGATTTGAACATTTTGCGCAACACAAAATCATCCTAAAAAGTTTGAATACCAACCATTATCCAAATTATTTGCCAAAAAGCGGTATAAAGTATAAATTATATTTCTGATTTGCGACAATTTTTTCGTGAGTACGTAAACACGAATGAAAAATTAATTATATTCGGGCACTTCAATGTCCGCATATATATCTTTTATTATTTTATAAATACGAAAATATGAATCAAAAATTAATTATAATCGGGCAGTTTACCACACATTTTCAAGTCCATGGATCGCCGTTGTATTTTGTATATACGAAAATAGGAATCAAAAAATAAATAACAATCGCGCAGTTGGCCACACATCTATGTACATAGATTGCCGTGGTATTGTGCCCGAATATAATTAATTTTTGATTCCGTATTCCATTCCTTAAACTTAATATCTGTTTTTAAAATTTTGCAAGCAGTTCACGCACGAAGACTTGAAATAATGATGTATTAGTCAAATTGAAGTCCTGTTAGACCACTGTTTCTTAACCAATGTGCCATGGCCCACTGGTAAGCCTCAGAGCCATTTTGAGGCGGGCCACAAACATATTATAAATTACAAGATTTGTTGATTGGAAAAATTGATTTGATAACAAAATCAGCTTCACGCGTCTTGAAAAACAAGATATCTATTTGCAAAACATGCCTCGCCGTAACCCACCCATTGTGGCGCAACAAATCCATTATACGGCAGTAACAGCTAGAAATGAGTATATATATATAGCAATTTGCTTGCACATTACATCAAAATTAAAAACAATATAACGAGAATGTCATGGCCTTCAATATTCGCCAGGCTCGAACTGAGAATACCATATAAAAAATAAACATAAAACGAAT